CCGATTCGATTTAATATTTAAACTTGGTTTATTTTTAGGAAAGAAAATAATTCTTTTATTTATCCATAAAGCAAAAAGATACAGGATATTGTTAGGAAAAAAAATCATTTCTTGCCAGATGGTGCTAGAGTCAAGTGGGAATAGTATTTGAAAGAAATTAGACTTAAAAGAGCGATATATGATAAGTGTCTCAATTGGCCCCTTAAAATGAATATCTTAATTGTACTTTATGTATAGCTTTAATTTGTATCGCTTTATATGCGATCATTATTGGTCATTTTCATTTTGATCAAAATGCCGTTATTTTAGAAATATGACATCATAAATTTCACGTTTTCCCGCCATTTTAGCATATTTGGTATAAAACTGCTTATTTTAAAGCAGTTTTTCTTCCAGAAAATATAGAGCGCAACCTAGAACAAGATTTATATTTTTACCAAAGATGTATCTATCCAATACTAATTAGTGACAGAAAAATTATGTATGTTCTACACTGCGCTCTATGTTTCCATAAGAAAAAAACATAAAGAAAAAGGCATATTTTTGACCTTTTTGTTAGATAGCAAAAGTAACATTATTTCTCATGTCATTTACAGCTATTGAGTGCATATAAATGTGAAAAATATATTGGAAATATTTTTAATATAATCCCTTCTACAAAATAAATATCAATTAAACATATTTGAATGTCATCCTAAAATGTTGATTTTTAGGGGGCCAAAATTGGCTCTTATCATATATACTCATTTATATAATTAAAAAAAACCGTTTAAACAAGGATTGAATATTTCTTTCAAAATATAGTGAATCAAGAATAGGACTATTAAAATTCCGAAGAAAAAAAACATTCAGATACTTTTTGGCTTTCCTCTTTTTAGAGAAACATTAGACCTAACTCCATGAATATTTACATGTAAAAATGCATTTTGAACAATTGATTTTTTTTCCGTTTAAGCTTGAAGAGAAATATCCTAACCAATATATGGACTTGGACATCTACAGCTTGGAGACGCCAAATGTGACATTTGAGAATAATTTGGCGGTGATAAAATTATATACAGTCATGTTTGTATACATTCGGCACCCGGAAAAACAAAATTCTACACTGATTGCTAAACTTGATGGAGTAAGTCATATGTATCAAGGACAGCTTTCAAAAATAAATAAAATTAAAAATATTGTTTATAAAGGTAGATTATTTTCAAAACTCCGACTAACATACTTGAACTGATGAGCATTCGATAGTCTCAGAAAATGACAAAGAATATATCTTGGAGACATTTACATGTAAATATTTGATCTATATCCAGTACGTTTTTTTATTTTATTTTTTTTTTTTTTTTTTTTTTTTTTTTTTTGTTTTTTTTTTTTTTTTTTTTTGTTATTAAAACTGATTCTTTTGCAGAATGCTGAGATGCGAATCAGAGTCTTTATGACCAATTCAACTTTTCAGGGGAATATCGTTGCGTTTGAGTAAGTGTTTATTTAACAGATACAAACAAACTGAGCAGGAGCTTTTAAAGAAATATAATAATTTTTACAATTGAGTAGCAAAACTCATTTTGATATCTTTCTTTATTTCACATTAAATTTTATGGACCATGATCACCAAAATGTGTCTTAACTACCATTCATGCGATAATAAACAAAGTATATCCATCTAACGTTCGTTGATTTACATATGTATCTGTCCTTTGTAAGAAAATATAACAACATTCAAATTATCGGCATGTAAATTGTTAACAAAATTAAAAAAAAAAACATGTAAATATGCATTAATAAGACCTTGAAGACATTAAGTTCGATTTTTTACGGAAGTAGCGCCACTATTCATTTGAGATTATACATTCATTTTTAATGACTGCAAAGGCAACATGAGCTTTGTTTGATATAACAACAGAACTGCCTGCCTGAAACTGTTGGGTCGGGGATATAGTTTTGTTAAAAGTGAGGCAAAAGGCAATATACCCTAAAACACAGTGAATGAATGATTCATTAAAAGAATAAGTGTTTTTTTTAATATCTTATACACGATTTCAAAAATTCGCGCAGTCAAGTTACTTCCCTTTACTATGACGTCAGACGAGGAAGCTCTAATCCTTGTATCATAGACCTAAAGCGAAAGAGTTATCAGTTTGATATCACAGGCCCAAACTTTACTTATTTTTCTTTTAATAAAAATTAATATAGCCCTTACTTTGTGTTTATTAGTAGGTAGGGGTATATAATTCCTTATTTAAAGAAAAATAAGTAACGTCAGGTGCCTGTGATAGTTATAACACATGTTCATGATGTCTTTTCTTTTTCACCTGATGTCGGTATTATAATAGTACTATTAGAACCATTTATTGTTATTGATGCTTTTAACATGTTTTAAAAATACAATTAATCTCATTAACATGTATGAATTAGCGGAATCGTTGCGCTGGAACACAGAATCATTTTCTTTCGTATACATGGTACACGTGTATACCATATACCCCCCCCCCTTTCAAAAAAAATATTTTTTAAAGAAAACTTGTAACCTTTTCAACAGGTTTTTCTACGTTTTAAATATATTTTCTAACAATTTTGCATGTTCTGAAATCATTGTGTGGGAAAAGGTTTCCGGAAGACGTATACTGTAATTTGCTTCTACTCCAGCCATCAGTCTTCGTAATGAGATCCATCTTTCACTTTCACTTTTTCTGTATTGTTTGTACTTTTATTTGTCACATGCAGTGTATATTTACATTTTGCAAAATATGAAGAGATCAGGGTCTGGATCAATTACTGTGAATGTTGTATACATGTTGATAAAACCCATAAACTTAGATACTTACCCGACTGAACAGGCATGATATAGTTTCCGACTTTATTACATGTATTTTTTTTTTTTTACATAGACACTCCGATATTTCAGCGATTATTCAAGCTCAGTTTTCTAACACTTTTCATGTTTAATAGATAACAAAGATGCCGGGATATTGTTCATCTAAAGTTATAATATTGAACACCGGGGCATGCAGCTATCATTGTCTGTTAGCTCTGCTGACACCCGCGATTAATCCATGACTTATTACTTGTTTTGATTAATTAAAAGATTTTGTTAAGGAATAACTTTCTAATTTTTTTTATTTCATCAATCGAGTGGCTTGCGTGATAATTTGCATAAAAATCGGACAGTATTCCTTATTTATACATGCTCTTGAATGGGCGCTTATCCACGTGCTACAGGTCCCGCTTCTGTCTCAATCGGTTCACGGCCCGCCCGCCTATCGATGAAGTAGTACATTCATGAAGAAATAAATAGAGGGTATTCAATGTTTTGTTGTTGAATATGGAATTTTATTTTATTTCACGAGTGCCAGTGGGACAGGATTTTTTTTTAATATTTTCACGAGTGCGAAGCACGAGTGAAAATGTTAAAAAAAAAATCGACTGTCTCACGAGTTTATTTCGAAAATGTAATCGTCTTAAATTCTAGAAACCGACTTGCTATTAATATCAATAATATAAAGTTCCGTGATAAGTTTCAGTTCTTTTTGAAATCTGCATATCGTTATAGAATTTAAATCAATTTTTAGCGACAGGCAATATTTCGCATGAAAGGGAAGAATCGTGCTATTTCTTTGCACGAAGTGATTTGATTTCTTTTTATATACATGTAGGTTAAAAAACTTTTAAAACATTCATTGCATTCTCTTTGGAACTCTTTACGGCTGAGAATCCATCTTGATATTGTAAATTTTAAAAATGAACGACATAAAGATTTGCAGTTGAATCGTTTTTTCAACATTACATTATTTCCTTATTGAATACATACATGTACAGTATATATACATACTGTATATAGTAGGTAAATATTTACAAAACCATGTGTGTATGTTAATTGAGACTTAGAATTGAAATCAATCATATAATTTAAAGTCAAGATGTTATAACGGTATATTTTTAAGTGACATGGAAATAAATCCTAATTGGTCATGTTTTCGTAGAATGACTGACGTATGTATCATTGTTTACATAACAATGTGCGCAAAAATGAAAGTAGATTTAACATTTCACGCCCATTGATTGTCAAGACAACATCTTCATTAAATTCACGTAAAGTACAACGGCTATAAATATAATAATGCAAGTTTTTTTTAATACAAAATTGTTTCCATTTAAGTACTTACGTTCAACTATGTTTTGAATCTTGTGCATTGTACCATGTGTGAATCTTACGTTTATCCTCGTTTGACGTCATCAATACATAAGGTAGGTAACTCTCCCGCAAGAGGGCGCGACTTTTTGGAATCGTGTATATGTATACTTAATTTGAGCTCAAACTTAATATATTACATTTATTTTCTGTTGTCTTTTTGTTTTCACAGGCCTTATCTAAAAAATATGGAGTCAACTGTCCATGGCTTTGATGTAAGTTTATTATCATGAATAGATGGTGATAATGTTTGTTACATTGCTCTTTAAACACCTATTGGTCTGGCTTTCACATGCTATATAAAACAGGAAATGGAATTATGGTGAAAATACATTGTCTACAACAAAGTTATTCTGAACAGAAATCTTACAAAAATTCCACATCCTGCTTTACAAAATTTGTTTTAAAAATCAAATTAAAATAAAAAAAACGTGACCGCTCCTGTTCTTTCCCCGATTTCCTGCATTCTTTTGAATAAAATGAAATCTACAAGTGCGTACTCTAATTCCATTTCTATAAAGTATGAGACCATCAATTACTGAAGCTTTGTTACGTTAAAACCCGTGTAGCTTTGACGATACGGTAAACAAAATTCAGATTTGCTTTGCTTGGCATAGAAGCTGTATACTGTGAAATCACAATTTTTCGTGGGTTTTTAATATTTGTTGTTTTTGAGGTGTGAAGAGACCCACGATTTCACGTCCAACACGAAATGTAAAAGTTGAAAAACATAACTACATAACTATTCTACATCCACGAATTCAAATCCCCACGAACCAAGAGTTTTTCCTCAAACCACGAAAATTTGTGATTTTATAGTATTGTTTTTACATGATATGGTATAAGAATATAGTGATACATCATCAAATGTATTGATACGTTGCCATGCATTGGCTGTCATGATTTTTATACTTATTGGGTATTTGTTTGTCTTCTATTTCCGTCATGTATTGTAAAATACATAGTATAAAAGGATTTTGCTATCATTGCGAGAAACCACAAATCACTTCTCATTTCATATCATGCTAATAAGCGTTAGTATCTTAGGCTGAGTTCAAGAAAATCTTATTTCTTTAAAACTGTATTGTTTTTACTTTAATAGGGTACAAATTTCAACTTTAATAAGACCTTTTGTAAGACTTCTTAAAACCTTGAATCATATAAAGATGAATAGAATGAAAATTGTTGCATGAAAAAAAAAAAAAAATTTTCAAGCTTCATTTTAATGCATTTAAAATTTGATATTAATCTTTAGAGTTATCCTTCCTGGCTGAGGATCTGATATCCTTAAAACTCCTTCAAATTCCTAATAATATAAAAGTAAGATTTTATCAAATCATATCCTTTGTTTTATTTTCATTGAAATACTTTAGATGCAGACGGTGAATTTTATACTAATGAGTGCAGTGGTGACAACGGTAGAACCAGTCCTTAACGGTAGATTATGATTTTATAATTATTGAAATATGTTTTAAACCTTTTACTTTTTTAATATGGTAGGTTAAACCTAAAATGATTTTGAAAATGTTTTATTTGAATATTTTAGAGCTCGGGAGAAAAGGAATGCCGTTACCACTTACACCTTGAATACAGCTGGAAAACAGTAGTGTTAATTTAATTGAGGTAAATTTATATCCTTCAGAAATTGTTCATAGAAGACACATTATATACATGTATCCACTCAGGTCAAAATAAATTCTTCATGAAACTAGAACGATAAAAGTAAAAAGAAACAGTTCATGAAATCAAAACCGTTATTGTTAGAGTTCAAGATTCATCAATTAGAAAGAAAATATTCTAAGACTAACAATATCAAGTCTTCATGTTAATAGGAATGTGGTACATTCATTGATTCATGATTTATGTGTTTATGGCTATTACGAGGTATGTAAACATGCATTTCGAGAATTGTGTAAGATGAGAATAGAAGAAAATATTTGTACTTTTTAGCGGAGGGGTTGGGTCTGTATTGAATTGATTGGATTGATGAAATATTTCTTTATTTATAAGACATTGATCTACATTTCCCAGGCAAAATTTCGTAAAGCCATATCCATGCATTGAACATTAAAATTGTTACAAAACTTTATTTTAATATACATTAAGTTTGTAATTTACAATAATATTCATTAGTATTACTTACTTTTCTATGCTTACTTTATGTTTCAGAATGCTATTGTCATAGGGAGCGACGGAACATATAACCGAACAGAAGATTGGATCATTCTTCAGATCGTTTGAAATATTCAGTGGCGCTTTGTTCATCAACACACAAAATGTCTTCAAAAATATGTTTTAAACGTGTAATGTACATATATTTATGTAAAATAAAAGAAAACAAATCTTTTGTTAATAATTTCAATTTTATAGTTAAAAAATAAATTAAAATAAAAATTGTAAATATGTGAAAATAGTAATATGACCCAAATTAGATGGTATCTCATTTTTTTTTAAACAGTAGAAACCTTAAATCGCCTTTTTAAAAATACATTTTCATGATCATCGACTGACCTTACTTGATAAAAAAAAAGTAGCAAGAGTATTCTTTCCGCATACACTCAGTGGTTTGCAATGAAGAGCGATGCCTGGTGTCACGATAGGCGTTGATGCAAAAGATCAAGGAACTAAAGATCAAGAGATAAAGCCGTTCTCTGGTATTTGGTGACGTCTCAATATAATCGAAAATTTATCGAATAAGTTGTAATACAACACACAGTCATTTTTAATGTTTTGCTGCAAGAAATGACCAGAATTTTGATTAACTACTTAATATTTAATCTTTAACATTGGTATGTCCATGGTCAATGTTTATGTTTATGTAAAAGACAAACCCATAATCTTTATTATTTTTAGACCTCACAAAAATTTAATGTATTAAACCCAAAAAACCATTATTTTTTAACGCGCATATAAGCTGAAACACGACGTATTCTTATGCGAAGTATTTTTCCTTAAAAACGAGCTTAGTATTTATCGTACGGAAGAAAGTTTACAATGAATTTGTTTTGTGTTTTGAGTTTCAAACTTATTATGGTTACATGTATCAATTTCTTTAGAAGCCGTATTCAAGAACACTTTAATTGCAATCCCTGTAGACTAGAAATCGCAGATTTTTTCTCTGTGAAAAGTTTGACACACGTGGCGTCCTAGTAACAAAAAATACACTCAATTCAAACATGAGAATTGAGTACGGGTTGATAAGTGTATAAAAGCATTTACTACTCCAACAGATCCCTTTTTTCCTTTGAAGAAAGAATGAGAGAGAGAATAGCGAAAATAATATATTAGTTAAATTTTATTCAATAAGATAAAAACAAATCAATAGGAAAAGGTATATTTCCAGCTTTTCACTTTATTATATTTTTTTCATTAGATTTATATAATAATAATAACACATAATATATACATTTGTGGTATCTCTCCATTATATAAACATACAGAGAGAAACTATATTCAATTCTGTATGAAGTTTGTCAGAGGTTAGAGGTCAATACGTGACCTAATCACACGGCGCAATAATATCTACCGGTGTACATAAATTATAAAATGACCTGATCTTCTTGCTTTTCATGTATAAAAATCCCAGATAGCATGACTATGTTGGGCCAACATTTGTTAAAGGTTGTATGGTTGGCGTTGGGGGAACAACGTTGGGCCAACGTTGGACCAATGTTTCCAAGTCAACCTTCTCGACCATGACAGAATTCCTATGTTGGCCCATCGTTGGTCCAACGTAAGCAACTTCCATTCACTTTAGTTTCCAAAGAAGGATGGATCATGGCGTTGGCCCAACGTTGGACCAATCTTAATAATACACCCTTAAAGAAAGTGTATTTACAAGTTGGTAGTAGTATGTTGGCCAAACGTGGGCCCATTGTTTGTAATACACCCTTAAAGAAAGTGCCTTATCAAGTTTGTAGTAGTATGTTGGCCCAACGTTGGCACAATGTTTGTAATACATCCTTAAAGAAAGTGCCTTATCAAGTTGGTAGTAGTATGTTGGCACAACGTAGGCACAATGTTTGTAATACATCCTTAAAGAAAGTGCCTTATCAAGTTGGTAGTATTATGTTGGCCCAACGTTGGCCCATTGTTTGTAATACACCCTTGAAGAACGTGTCCTATCAAGATGGTAGTAGTATGTTGGCCCAACGTTGGCCCATTGTTTGTAATGCACCCTTAAAGAACGTGTCCTATCAAGTTGGTAGTAGTATGTTGGCCCAACGTTGGCCCATTGTTTGTAATGCACCCTTAAAGAAGGTGTCCTATCAAGTTGGTAGTAGTATGTTGGCCCAACCTTGGCCCAATGTTTGTAATACACACAAGTGTTATTTTGTTTAGGTCTTTAAAGATGGGATATTTATATTGGGCCAACATTGGCCCAATATAAATACTGCCAACTAATTGACGGTGTAAATTTTATAATTAGCTGCTGAGCTTTACGTTGGGACAACGTTGGTACATTCTGAAATAATTAAGAGGACTTTCTATGTCCATGCTTATCATTGGATGACTGCTTTTGTTTAGATATGATATTTTCAACATTTTAACTTTGCACTTAAGTGATCAAGCACCAAAGAGTGTTTTATACTATTTTTTGAATTGTGTATATGCTTATTTATTTGTAATAACCCAGATAGCAGGACACCGTTGGCCAAATCTTACATTATGGTTCTAGTATCTATGTTGGGTTACCTTGATTGGGCCAACAATGGCCCAACATGGAATATTGATAGCTGGTTATGTATAATAGTGCGCTAATGTTGGGCTTACTGTTGGCATTAAATCATAAAACTATTATCATGAGAGAAAATATTTGTTTGGGGATTGGCATCGGCCCTACGTTGGCCCACTATACCATAAATCACACTGAGCATCATGGGTAGACAACAACCGGGCTACTTGTAATATCCGCGCCATTTTTAATCTGACACGAGTGGAATGAGACTGATACCTTGCATATCTGCACTCACTTTGTAAGTATTAATTATATGTTTGCCTCGGCACAGCTGAATTAACGTTTAGTTTTTAAACGATATCATGTACAAATCTGTGTAAATCAGACACGGGCAAGTGCAGAGGCCAGGTGCTGTTGGGTCAACACTGTACATATAGCATGCTAACATTGGGCCAACGTTGGGCCAATGTAATCGGTTGCATCGGGCCAATGTTGGCAAATGGCACTGACCCAATTTAAGTTTGCTCATCGACCCAATGTTGGCGAGTGTTATTTCTACAGATATTGGCCCAACGTCGCGCCAACATTGGTCCAATGAATGCGACATTGTTGGCGAAACGTCAACAAGAACATTGGGCCGATGTTGGCAAATGACGTTGGCCCAGTGTCGTTTTGCTCCTTGGCCCAATGTTGGCCCGATATATTGGACCACCATTGGGCCAATGTGTATAAACATTTAATTGTTACAAATCTGTATATTAACAAATCTGATCGTCTCTAAAATCAGAAATAAGTCTACAACCAATCCTACTTGAAAAATCAAGCTAGCTAAAATAAATTTAAAATTCTAATAATTTATCGAAACAAAATAAATTATCAGTGATTAAATTTTTTGTTTATATACAAGAAAAAAAATGAAAGTATAAAAATGTGTTTTGATACAGTTAAAACAATTAATAATTTGCTCCTTATTTAAATTGAAATTTTTGTCTAGTAGAATACATTTCCGAAGTCTACCACTTAATTTACTTATATACACTTAACGTCGAGAACATGATCAAACATTTTGAAAATGTTGAATTTGCTGAAGTTAAAACAAAATTTATTCAGTAATAAAAATAAATTGGGTTCTTTCATTTAAAATTTGTTCAGTGTAACGACAAATTTTCAATACATGTATTTTATATGGGGCAACATTGAATCAAAATTGTTTTGATGATGATTATCAAGCGTATAAATATTATGCATAAATGCCTTCATCACGCAAGCTAATCACTTAATCACACCATGAAACAAAAAAGACCGTTATTCCTTAATTGACAGCTTAAACATATAGTTATATACTTGTAAATTTAATCGTATGTTTACTCTTTACTGAAAAAAGTAACAAATGTATTAAGTACCAAATAATACAATTTTAGTGCTACTGGAGATTCTAAAAAGACATTGAGAACACAATCAAAGAATAGCTAAGGTATGCCAAGGACAGGGATGGGGAAGGAAAAAACGGACAGAGAAGAAAAGAGGGGGAGGAGGAGACTTGGGAGAGAGGAGAGGAGACTTAGGAGAGGGATCGGATGGAAAGTGGCAGTGCCTAACTTTTTTTCTGTGATATAGTGTGACATACCTGTAGTTCTACCCTTTTTTGTGTCTGTTTGTCGGTTATAAACACGATGCAGATGCCAGAAACATTTTTTGTGTAAGTAAACAAAATGACGGGATTCATTTTAGTACTATTTTAAGAACAGGAGGGCTTTGTTTATTTGTTAGACGTGCTTATTGATACCTGTTATTTACTGAACTTGTGCATAATTTACATCAGAGAGGGAGTATACAGTCATGTAACCCTAAATGTATCGCGTGAAGTGAGCATCAACTTTTAATTCTTTATTAATGTTTTCTTCATGCACTGAGCAATAAAATTATAGTATGTTATAATTTAATTTAATATTTTGATTTCTTTTTCCTCAGTTTTTAATTAATGAAGAACTACTTACAATGCAATACTTGTTGATGGCAATTCTATGAGAATATTGAGAATATGCATTAAACTATTAATCTAGCATATATAGATGGTATTAAAGGGCTTTTACCATTAAACTGTTCTACAAAACTAGTATAACCTTATTGTATATATTTGTTTGTCAATTTTGAGGACAAATGGCCAACCAGTGAAGAGCAAATGAGTTGTCATGATGGAGAGCCAATAAGATACAAACCTACGTTGGCCCAAAAATGATGTTTTCCTAATATTGAAAGAATAAGTGGCCCAACAATGGCTCAATGATATCCGTTCGTTAGTCCAACAATAAGCCAACAAGTTGGTCTGATTAAGGGCCGATGAGCAAAATACCGATGGTCCAACATTAATTGCTTACAATGGCCAAACTGTACAAAAATGACGTTTTCCCAACATTGAAAAAATACATTGGCCCAACAGTGGCCCAATGTTAACTGTTACATTGGCCCAACAATAAGCCAATAAGTTGGTTTGATTAAGGGCCGATGAGCAAATTACCGTTGGCCCAACATAAGTTGCTTACAATGGCCCAATTGTACATAAATGACGTTTGCCCAATATTGAAATAATACATTGGCCCAACAGTGGCCCAATATTAACTGTTACATTGGCCCAAAAATAAGCCAACAAGTTGGTTTGATTAAGGGCCGATGAGCAAATTACCGATGGCC